ACTAACAAAAAGTTGAACAAAAGCCACCATTTACCAAATATCAACATTGCATATGTAAACTAATTCCGCATACTTAAATAATCTCTAGTATATCAGATAATGAAATATCTAGGTTAGACAAACTTCACTAGTTCACCATCAACAACACACAATTTAAATCACGAAATATCTCGTAATGCATACAAAAATATTAAATTTAAAAATCTTCTTGTGAAAAACATAGTTTGAATTTATTCATTAATCTCTTCCCTTTTATTTCTCATTCGCATCCATATCTCCTTTTCCTTTGCGGAATGTAATGTTGATGGATATCTCGGTATCCGATTGTCCGTTAATTCAAGTAAAAGTTTTGAACAAACCCGACAGATCTTCAGTTTACTGTGTAGAATTCTGAACGGCTGAACAATTGCATCTTGATTCCCGTTTATCTTTAACACCACTGGATTGACCCTCATCTTGTAATGGTTTTCGTTTCGGGCAAAACGTTACTCCACTTGAAAAATCAGCAATCTCTAGTGCAACAATAGAATAACCGACCAATGTTTGCAGTCTTTTCTACTTCCATTCATTTCATAAATCCATCCACACAATTTGGACATCATTGTTTCTTTGGGTATGCCCACAATTGGTGCCCTGGTTGTCTGCAACTATGAAAAATCCTCTTATTTTTTCCTAACAAACAAAAATTGTACTGCATCCATGAATATGCGGTACATATATTTCACAAACATAAGAAACACGTACAAAGCAAAATTGCACAAACACCTACAACAATTGGCTAAATTTTCATGCGGTTTAGACACTACTAAAGTGTTCATATCAAATACACCTAGCAAATTCCAACAATTACCTATAAAAACACCTATTCAGAATCAAACACATTTTGCTACATAAGGTTCAATAAGTGTTGCTCATTGGAATTCAAATCATCTGCAATAACCATCTCAAACGCTTTATGCTTCATTTGGTCAGAAGTATATAGTAAGCATGAAGTTTTGACCAACAACAAATAAAAAGAGAATTAAAGAAGCACAAAGTAATGGGGAAGAGACGAGTTGAACAATCAAAACTCTTGCTACTAGTTGGATTTTACAGTTGGCAAATTCTTTCGAACTCTAACCACCAATCTCTTTCAGCAACAACAAAATCAGTGATTTCAAAAACTTATACTTCTAACAACACAGCCATTAGCAATGACATTACTCTGAAAAAAGATGGGGGAAAAATTCAGACTTACCTCCATTTTTTTTTTCCATTTTAACGATTTCAAGAATCACCCTTGCCGGGTCTTCAATTTCGGTTAAATTTTGATTGAGGGTTAGGGTTCACACAATTTGGGAACTTATTCTCACGCCTTTTATTATAAGAGGTGTGTTTGCAGGTTGGGGATTAATAACATGGCAATTCAATGTTGCATTGGAGTAATTTAATTGGTAAATGCTAGAGCCGTTAGCCACGTAGGCAAATGGTATATAAAGAATTAACCCAGTTTTTCACAGTTCAGTAAGTGATGGGGTACAACGAAAAGTTTAGTGAGTGAAATGTGACATTTTGTAAAGTTCAGTGAGTGTTGAGACAATTAGCTTAGAAGAAGAAGATAATTTTGGTTTTTTAGTTTTTTGATTTTTAAAAGGAAGAAATGTGATCTAACTAAAATGCCATTATCTTTGTTGGTCAAAATTATCAATTTTTCAATTTTTTGGTTAATTGATGGCTTAACTAATAGTTCCATCATATTGGACTCTAGGGACGAATTTTTCAAAAGATTTGGTACCGTGAATTGTACAAATGAAAATTATGGGCTATGTCTGCGATAAAATAAAAGATTTAGTACCGTGGTTGCATTTTTTCAAAAAATATATTAACAAAAAAATTATTTATAAGCAAAAAATTTACATTATAAATAAAAAATAATTATAAGTAAAAAAAGACTCTTATATAAAAAATTGTTTATATAACAAAAATACTACTAATAAATAAAAATTCACTTATAAAATATAAAAGTTACTTATAAATAAAAAATTCAATTAAAATTATTTAAAATTATAAAATTAATTTATAATTGTAAATTTGGATATAAGTAAAAAAAAATTTAACTTAAAATTCAGTAAATATTTAGTATTATTTAATTTTTAAGTTATTATGAGTAAAAATATTTCATGTAAAAAACTATAAACTAAAAATTTTACTAAAAGATATATATTTAATTTTATTCTTTCAAATTTTTTCAGAACTGGTGGATGATAAACTTCCAACATAGGTTGGACAGTTTTAAAAATTGCTAATAAAATCATTAAAAAATTATCAACTCATAAACGCTCAAAATCGATAATTTAAAAAACGCTTGTGGAAACACTCAGACAGGCCATTGATGAAACGCAAAGAAAGTGTGCTGAAATTATACCTTTTCAAAGTGTGCACGAAAAATCATTGTCATCCAATGAGAACCCTTTATTTTTTCAGCTACACCGAACTACCCTTCTTAATTAATTGCATATAAGTCAATTTAAATAAATGAACATGTGAAGATTAAAGTAGTTTCACTGGCCAGAGATATTCTTATAATTCTAGAACCTTGTTAAGACTAAACCTTGTTTGGTATGCATTAAAATTAAAATTTTAATATAAGTCAAAATCAATAATTAATTTCAATTACAAATTTCATGAGATCCATAATTTTTTAACCATACATTGTGGCAACTTTTAAAAAATCTACTATATGGGCAAAAAATCTGAGCAAGCTGTGATTTTCTGTTTCTAAATGAGTTTAAATATGTTATTTATAATTTACTTATAAGTAAATTTTTTAAGTTTAGGACAGTGATTCTAAAATAATTGGGATTACTCTGTTTATCTTATCTTTTTGAAGATTCTGAGTAGAATATAAGGGCTCTATCTAGCTTCATCATCCAGTTAAGGAAAAAATGTTGTTCTATTTTAGGTAAATTAGATCTCATGTCTACTATATTTTTATTCAATATGCTGCTTGCTATGCATTTTTCTAAATTGTTTAGTCTATTTTCTAATTAATATGACACAATAGTGATAATGTTTTCAAATCCTTGATATTAAAATATAAAGAACGTGGATGAATAAAGTTTTCCATAAAGTTAGTGAGAATGTACAAAATGATTGACCGAATCTCTGTTTGGCCATGTTTTTTGTTTTTGTTTTTTTTTTTAATTTTTTCAACTTATTTTCAATTACAGATTTAATAAAATTTACGATTCTTATCAATAGTTCGAATAATATTTCATAACTTTGATTAAAATATACTAAAATTATGATTTTTAACAAAATCAAACAAGGGCCTAGAATTTTAAAAATAACTGTTAGAATTTACCCCTTTAAAATTGATAACGATCTATTGTTTTTCCCAAGTTTTTGACAACTCCTAGAAATGAGCCTTCTATTTAAATATGTTCTTCTAATTTCGTCCTTTTTGTTGTAAATTAATTCATAAGAGGGCTACTCTAATATCAAGTTGCAATACATTATTTTGAATTTGTGTTTTCTTGATGGTCTCATCAAAATATTTTTAAAACTTTGGCTCATCACATATTCTTAGTAAATAGAAAGGCTTCAAGTTGTAATTTGCAGATTTGTCAAAAGAATTATGTCACAGTATGTCTCGAAACTACAAATATGACATCTGTACTTTTTTTGAGGTTTATTTTCTTCATCGTAAATTGTGCTTTTAAACATTGAATATATATTTTGTAAGATTCATAAGTACTATTCACTTATAAATTAATATTCATTTATAAGAAAATAGAATTTTAGCTAAAAAATAAAAATGACAGAGAGGCATTACATGTGTTGACGATAGTAATTGGATTGACAAATTCCTCTCACATAATCAAAATTTTCACCTCCTAAATTCTCTTGTTTTGATAATCAAATCGAAGCAATAGGAGAAATGTCTATTTGGGAGGAATATATTATAATTCGCATACTATTGTCTTTTAGGCAAGAATATTTATAGATTTTTCGCAGGGTTTGGATAATTCGATTATTCTAAGAGAAAAGACAGGTGATGACCTTTTATTGACTAGCTCGTAAATGATATGATTATAATATCACATTTTAGGCATTTGCTAACATTTACTTCAATAACGGTTTTTCTGAATAGTCTAGATGGGGAGTAGCTCGAGCCTTTACACTTCGATTTTCCTTTGCATCATTTGTAACTCTCAAACAAAGAACAAGGCTGACAAAGTGTACTTCTTGATTCAACAAGCCCCTGTTTTGCCCTCACTCTCTTTCATTTTTTTCTCTATCTATTTTCAATCACACAATCTTTCATAAAATAATATTACACGTAAACCGAATTTTTTTATTCTTTTTCAACAACACATTCTTAAAAAAAAAAAAGACTACTCCAAACATTAGAATTTAGAAAAAATGGGGGGCCAAACGGGGGCTAAACAAACTACTTTCTTGTCAAACATAAAGCCATAAAAAAAAATGTATACAAGATATGTATGAACCCACAAAACAACTCTTCTACAAATCGAAAAAGAACTAAATAATAATAGTCCACTGCTGTTTTTGTATAAATTGTAATTTGAATTATTGAATTAAACAGCCTGTCATGAACCACCATGAGACAGATCAACAGGCAATTTGTTAATTTCCTTTCCCAGTATGCATAGTTCTGGGTTCGGCTCCATTTTTTATGAAAATGAATTTTTCGAAAATATATTTTCAATCACAAATAATCTAATAAAATAAAATTACACTATTTTAAAATACATTTTCTTGTAAAGTCCTAATATTAATGGAATGCAAACAGGGACAAAGTGTATACACATATTTGTGTGTATATTTTTTTCTTGGCCCTCTAAAATTTGGTCCTTGGAGAGTCGTGGATTATCAAGTGGGTCACTGTCCGACTACCACTTGGTCTTTGCCGTCTCTATTACTGCCTTCTATGTTTCCAAATTTGCCCTCTTTATGTTTTCTTTCTTTTTCTTTTATTAAATATATAAATTTATTAATTCCTTCCTATCCCCGTACACACAGATACCAATTTTCTCTCACTTCACCCAATCCCATGTATGCATTCATTGATTTGACCCTTTCCTCTCTCTGTCTTTTTAATTGATATGGTTGAAGTTGAATATACCTTGCAAGATCAATCTTTATCTAGCTGTAGATAGTTTTTAATGTATTTTATGGCAATTCTTTAATTGTTAAGTCAATAAACTAGCAATCTTGTTTGTTGGGCTGTATTAAAGATTGGGTTTTTCTTCTTCTGTGAAAATATTGGGTTTTTTATTGGTTATATTTGGAGTTTTGGATGTTTATTTGAGGGTTTAATTGGGTGAGCTTGATTTTGAACTACTTTTTGTTGTGAACTGTCATTTGTGATTGTGATTAATGCTTGGAGTGAGACAATGGAAAGATTTACGGCCAGAGTTTTCGTTCTTTAGCATTGACTATTGTAACTTATTGAAAAAATATGAAAAATTTCTTGAAGAAACTTCATATAGGAACGAATCAGTCTGGAGACTCAGAAGGGTCTGTTTCTTCATCAAAGAGCAATAAGTTGAGTGGTGGTTCACCAAAAGAAAGGCTTTCACATTCCAGGTCTGAGCATAATAAGCCCTTTTCAGCTATATCAGGATGGTTAAATTCTGTCACAAATAGGCATAGTCCTAGTCCCCCTTCCTCTTCAAATGTGGAAAGAGGACAGAGAATGGAACCTTCTGATTCTCTGGGTAGTAGTAGCTTGGATACTTCTCTGGATGCAATAAAACATGACTCAGAATCGAGCAACTCGAGGGATCCTGATGTTGAAGAGGAGTACCAAATTCAGTTGGCTTTGGAGTTGAGTGCAAGGGAGGATCCAGAGGCGGTTCAAATTGAAGCCGTAAAGCAGATCAGCTTAGGCTCTTGTACTCCTAAGGAGACTCCTGCTGAAGTTGTGGCATACCGGTATTGGGTAAGTTTTCGTATCTAACATTTGTCAATTTTATTTTGCATTCACTTAGTTTAGTGTACTTAGAGTTTGCTGATATGATATGAAATTGCAGGACATTGTACACAAGTTACAATAATTCTGCTACAATTACAGTTTCCTTGATATTTTTGTTGACATGATGTGCATGACATGCATTTTTGCCATTGATTTTAACAACACTTACAATAATCAGTGGTCTCGATTTTGACACCTCATGCAATGTCAATAAAGATGTACATTTTTAATGTACAAATAGCTTAATCCAAGTTAAAATAGTACTCGGTTGTGTCAACATTCAATTGATAAAAATTTGTAGGGTTTTGTGTTCTGGTGATGCTTGACTGCAATTAAGTATTGTTATTGAAATGGGTGTCTGGGATAAGGAAATGCCTCTTAGACATCAAATTACACTATATTACTACATCTTAAAAGTGGTTTGTAAGAAGTAGGACTATCAACGACAATGTAATTGGTGTCTGCAATTGCTATACTGTTCCATTAATTTCTTTCCAAATTTGCTGCTTGAATTTTGAGTTTTCAAAGTCCTTAACCACTATAGGTAAGATGGATTATGAGGGGTAGGAATTTAAATCATTGTAAAATGGAAAATAATATTGGTGTACTGACTTTAGAAGGGGAAGAATGAAAGGAAAAAATGGAAAAACAGAGACACTGAGAAAGGCATGGATAATAACGTGCTTATGTCTCCAATACTATACAGCCATTAGAAGCAAGGATAAGTTCTGCAGTTTGAGATACTTGATGTATTACAAATTTGTCTTGCACTGGAAATGACAATGGTGGAAAGATTATGTCAAGATAACATACGACCAAGTGGGGGTGAAGAAAGTTAATAATTGATGGAATTCGGATAAATTAAATGGATAGGGAAAATATGACCAGGATGCATCTTTGGTTAGCCACTTCAGTTGTCTAGTTCAGATTAATATTTCCTAAAATTATCTCATGTCAATTTACCCAATGGGAGGTTCAGCTCAATTAATTCCAAGAGATGCATATCTGGTCGTTCTAGGTTATTAAGGCAACTGCATTTCTTCTCAGATTAGGACAACAAGTTCAGTTATTCAATCCATAAAAATTATTTGAATGAAGTTTAAGAACTCAGGCAGAACTAGATTGTGTACCGATGATAGTTGGATAAATTGGACGGCAAAGGATGGTATGACCAAATCCGCCTAGTATTTTTGTACACCGATTATTTATCTAATATGTTGAGTTTTGTTAAGTCTCTCTTGAGGGTGCCTAATGGGAGATTCATATGTCAAAGTGACAGTCTCTTGAACATAGAAAGTTTGTTGCAAATCTTTGCCTTATACTTCTTTCTCTTTATCTGATTCCTTCATAGGTATTCAGACTATACGAAAAACCTGGTGTTGATATAGTTTTAAGTAACTTTGTGGCAAATGGGATGGGATCATTTTGCTACATGGTTTTAAGTTCTGAATTATTCTTTGACCAAAAATGGAAATAATATTTGATGTGTATACACTCTTTATTTTCTTTCTTAACATATCTCATGTTATAGATTTGTCAATGCTTCACAGAATTACAATGCTCTTAGATATGATGACAAGATTCTGGATGGATTCTATGATCTATATTGCGTTTCCGAGTCTACATCATCAAGAATGCCTTCCCTTGTTGATTTGCAAGGGATTCCAGTCTCAGACAATGTTAGTTGGGAAGCCATTCTTGTCAATAAAGCTGTTGACATCAATTTGCTAAACCTTGAACAGAAAGCTTTAGAGATGGCTGTCAAATTAAGGTCGGATTCTGTAAACTTTGACATCAATATGGCGCAGAAGCTTGCTACTTTAGTTTCTGATTACATGGGTGGCCCGGTTGGTGATCCCCATAACATGTTGATATCATGGAGAAATCTCAGTTATAAATTGAAGGAAAATCTTGGGACCATTGTTTTGCCTCTTGGTTCTTTGACAATTGGATTGGCTCGTCATCGTGCGTTGCTATTCAAGGTAATAAATGCTTCATGGTGTTTAGGTTTCTGGAATTTGAAAATCTTCTATTTATAACAAAATATGATCATTTTTTCATAACAACTATTTTATTATTTAGAAATCCTTGCATGCCATATCCGATAAACTCAAGTCGAGCTAAAAGAAATAGTATTTGTTTCTCTTGATGGAGATTGTTCTGATAATCAGATATTTAAGAGATGAAGCATCTATCTTCTTATTCATGCCATTCACCATTTTATTTTATTTTATTTTATTTTTTTTTTTTGATGCACAGATTATAATGTCGCATAGCAAACTAGTTTAGGTTTTTTTTTGTGAAGATGGACTGGGATGCATGATTGTTGGTGGTGCAAGTACCATTACCGCTAAAGGTACAAAATTATGGTGGTTAGTTTCAGAATTTAATAGACTTAAACTCATTTTTGGGGACCTCAGATGGGACATCGATTAATGAAACCCTTCTGTGAAATTTTTGAAGTCAATCTAAACCTTAGAGTGTAGTAGAGATGGTTTTTTTTTTTTTTTTGGGTGATGTTAACCTAGTTTTGTGGTGTCATTAAAGTGGGGTCAATTAAGTAATTTATCTGAATTCTAGGGTTAATGAAGTCAACCTTAGGCATTCTGAGTTTGTGCTAGTTTAATCTTGTATCTGAATTCTGGGGTTAATGAAGTCAACCTTAGCCATGCTAGTTTGTGCTGGCTTATTATCAATTTGTGCTGATTTTGTGTTGGTTTTATGGCTATGAAGAAAGTTATGGACAGTATCAGGTGTTATATTTTGTGGTGTATCAATTTTGTGATTACCACTGTATCATTTTTATGGTGTATCAAGTGTTATATTTAGCGAACTAGGGAACCCAAATAGCAAATGCAGATCTTTGTAAAACAGATAATAATTACTAACAAAAAGTTGAACAAAAGCCACCATTTACCAAATATCAACATTGCATATGTAAACTAATTCCACATACTTAAATAATCTCTAGTATATCAGATAATGAAATATCTAGGTTAGACAAACTTCACTAGTTCACCATCAACAACACACAATTTAAATCACGAAATATCTCGTAATGCATACAAAAATATTAAATTTAAAAATCTTCTCGTGAAAAACATAGTTTGAATTTATTCATTAATCTCTTCCCTTTTGTTTCTCATTCGCATCCATATCTCCTTTTCCTTTGCGGAATGTAATGTTGATGGATATCTCGGTATCCGATTGTCCGTTAATTCAAGTAAAAGTTTTGAACAAACCCGACAGATCTTCAGTTTACTGTGTAGAATTCTGAACGGCTGAACAATTGCATCTTGATTCCCGTTTATCTTTAACACCACTGGATTGACCCTCATCTTGTAATGGTTTTCGTTTCGGGCAAAACGTTACTCCACTTGAAAAATCAGCAATCTCTAGTGCAACAATAGAATAACCGACCAATGTTTGCAGTCTTTTCTACTTCCATTCATTTCATAAATCCATCCACACAATTTGGACATCATTGTTTCTTTGGGTATGCCCACAATTGGTGCCCTGGTTGTCTGCAACTATGAAAAATCCTCTTATTTTTTCCTAACAAACAAAAATTGTACTGCATCCATGAATATGCGGTACATATATTTCACAAACATAAGAAACACGTACAAAGCAAAATTGCACAAACACCTACAACAATTGGCTAAATTTTCATGCGGTTTAGACACTACTAAAGTGTTCATATCAAATACACCTAGCAAATTCCAACAACTACCTATAAAAACACCTATTCAGAATCAAACACATTTTGCTACATAAGGTTCAATAAGTGTTGCTCATTGGAATTCAAATCATCTGCAATAACCATCTCAAACGCTTTATGCTTCATTTGGTCAAAAGTATATAGTAAGCATGAAGTTTTGACCAACAACAAATAAAAAGAGAATTAAAGAAGCACAAAGTAATGGGGAAGAGACGAGTTGAACAATCAAAACTCTTGCTACTAGTTGGATTTTACAGTTGGCAAATTCTTTCGAACTCTAACCACCAATCTCTTTCAGCAACAACAAAATCAGTGATTTCAAAAACTTATACTTCTAACAACACAGCCATTAGCAATGACATTACTCTGAAAAAAGATGGGGGAAAAATTCAGACTTACCTCCATTTTTTTTTTCCATTTTAACGATTTCAAGAATCACCCTTGCCGGGTCTTCAATTTCGGTTAAATTTTGATTGAGGGTTAGGGTTCACACAATTTGGGAACTTATTCTCACGCCTTTTATTATAAGAGGTGTGTTTGCAGGTTGGGGATTAATAACATGGCAATTCAATGTTGAATTGGAGTAATTTAATTGGTAAATGCTAGAGCCGTTAGCCACGTAGGCAAATGGTATATAAAGAATTAACCTAGTTTTTCACAGTTCAGTAAGTGATGGGGTACAACGAAAAGTTTAGTGAGTGAAATGTGACATTTTGTAAAGTTCAGTGAGTGNATCTGAGATCAATCCGATGGTAAAAGAATATAAAAATAAATAACCTTTTCTTTTTTTTCTTTTTTTTAAATGGACCAGTAAAACCAGTTAGGGATCACCTGGTTTTAGGCAATACTGGCCACATCCAAACTTATTTTAAGTGGTTTTAAAATATGTGGACTTGTACATGAAACCGGCCAAGATTTCAGACCACTCACTGGGGGAACTGTCCAGTCTTGTTCCTGTAAGTCTATAACGTTGATTTGTACCAAGTTATGTTCTTTTTGTTTGGGATTTCCAGGTTCTGAAATTTTTCTTTAAAACAATGTAATTTGAGTTTACTACATATAGGCCCCCATTACATTACAAAACTTTAAATGACCCAGGACTTGAAGGTAAATGTATTGTTTGAGGCCTCATCAATAAATGAAACAAACCACGAGTCCCAGAAATGTTAGCAATAGTAGAAGGACCCCATATATCACTATGAATGAGAGTATATGGAACAGATATTCTTTTATTGCTAATTGGAAAAGAAGCACGTTTGTGCTTTGCTAGTTCACACACATGACAATGAAAACTTTCAACAACAAATAATCCCTTAAACAATAAAGGAAACATATGTTTAAGAATACTAGATGACGGGTGACGAAGACGATGAAGCCAAATTTTGTCTTTATTTGATTTAAATGACTTGGAAAGAAATGATAAAGGTGAAGAACTCGTAGCTCTAGCTTCTTCATTTGATTCTTCAAGATAATAGAGACCATCCCTCTCTCTAGCATGTCCAATCATCCTCCTCGTTCCTTGTTCCTGGAATACACAATGATCAGGATAACAAATCACACGGCAATTAGAATCTTTGGTGAGTTTCTGGGTGGACTCTAGATTGGTGTATAATTTCGGAACATGAAGAACATTCCTAAGTGCAAGAGAGTTATTAATAAGAATATCTCCCTGACCAGCTAGTGTTGTTACGTAACCATCTGCTATGGTTATTTTTTCTTTTTTTTTACTAGGACACGAGATATAAGAGATGAATTTTTGTGAAGAGCAAGTCATATGATCTATAGCACCCGAGTCAATGACCCAAGCATTGGAAAATACTTTATTCAAGACATTAAAAGCATGAGAAGTGGAAGATCTACCTGAGAATGCTGAAGTGTAGGTGCCTGGGGTAGATGGTTTTTCTAATGTCCCTAATAGATTTTTGAACTTCTCAATTTCTTCATGATTGAATTCTGTAGACAGATTCTCAATTTCCTTTGTTTTTGCCATATATACCTGCTTCTACCCACCACGATTAGACCAGTTTTCAGTTGGATTTTGACGCCTACCATGAAGCTTCTAGCATTTGTCCCTTTCATGACCTGGATTGTTGCAATAACTGCACCATGGAGTCTTTTTGTTCGATGATCTTGTGAAATCTCCTTGTTTACTGTTTTCACCAGTGTGTTTTTTCGTACTAGAATTTTTCATGTTTGTGTTTTTAGATACCAAAGCTGAACTATCCACTCTTAAGTGTATCAACCATAATTCCCCTTCTTCCTTCTTCAGCAAGGCTATTGCAATAGCCTCATTTAATGATGGCAAGTCTTTTTTTCCAAGTATTTGTACCCTTACTACATCAAACTCAATATTTAATCCGGCAAGAAAATCGTAAATTCAGTTTTTCAACAATCTCTTAAGAACAACCGCATCTTCACTACTCTTCATCTGGATGCATTGATAGTGATCCATCTCCTGCCATAAACTTTTTAAAATGTTTGAATATTTGGTGATTGATTGATCTCCCTGCTTGTTGGCGGTAACCTTGGTTTTGATTGCATAGATTTGTGCAGCGTCATGCAACTTGGAGTGTGTATGTCTCACGGCCTCCAATATATCTTTGGCTGTGTCCAAAAACATGCATGATTTCTGGCATCATAGAGTTCCACAACCAGGACATCACCATTGAGTCATGTTCATCCTAAGCATCGACGCTAGGATCCCCTTTTTAGGCCCAGTACCAAGGTAGTTGACTTAGTTTGCCTCTTCCCTTCAAAAGGTACGAACTAGTTGTGACCACCACTTCAGATAATTCTTCCCATTCAACCCGTTTGCTGCTTGAATGTTTTGCAATTCTCCTGTTGATAAAGGTGTTGCTTTCAAATACCATAGCCTCCGAAGGATTGCTGGTTGTTGAAGTATCTGTCATTGTTCTTTAATAAAAAGGGTGACAAAACAGGGTTTAATTGATGATGTAAAGAGGAACAAGGAAAAAATGAATACAATTTCCAGAATAACGAGCATAAAGCTCTGATACCATGACAGAAAATAAAAGATTGAAAATATGAATTGTATTGATTTACTATCATTATTACAAGAGTTTATATAGCTGAACTCAATCAGCAAAATAAGAAAAGTTACCAAAAAATAGAAATAAATAAAAATCCAATGCCTAGAAATTAGGATTGCAATAACTATCCTAAAAATAAACAATTATAAAGATTACATAATATTATATAACTGTGCTGAATTGTGCTGAATTTTCCTAAGTTAGGAAAATTATATTTTCCACATAATTATCATCGCACACTAGAGATAAGTGGTGGGATTTTCACGAGAAACTAGCAAATTGG